TGGGTACGTGAAGTGTGATATGTGTTCATACGGTGGAATCTGGGATCAGATATAGTGATTTGTGTGCTATATGGAGTTGGAGACTAGGAGTTCTCGTGTTCCGGCTATGCAGTGGTTGTAAACCGTGTGTATCGATACCGTTAGCAGCCCGAGCGGATCTTTCTTCGTTGGTATGTTAGATTTTGGATATGATGTTGAGATGTAGACTGGTTGTCTTAGTGTTGGGTTATTCGAGACTACTGTGCCATGGACTATGTCGGAAAATGCCACAGGCTGCGTGGCGAGGTACATCGGATTATGTTATAGCAGAGTGTGTTGCATTCCAAAGGCCAGCGGACGGCTGGGAAGGATTGCTTTTCTTAATTGGGCCTTCGTGGCGGATGTTAGTGCAGAGGTTCTACCATTGATTTAGTTCCGGTATTGAGGGACTTTTTCGGATGTGTTTCTTGTGGCCGGGCATGTCGCCGGGTGAGATTGTGGATTTCGGTATTTATTTGGTGCCGGGCACCGTATTGGACGGCTCTGGCAGGAGTCATAGTAGTAGAAGGAGTAGCTTCAGGCTTCCTGGTATTGAGTTCGTTGGCAGGCCAATGTGGCTACGTATTTAGCTTGAGTTAGCTTGGTTAGCCCCGAGTTGTATTGCTGAGGGATAGGTTGATTCGATTGTTCTTGAACTGGTTGGTGATTTGGGAAGATCTATGAGTTGTTTCTTTTTCTGTGTGGTAAGGCGTTATGATTTTCGGACTGTGGGCACATATAGTGCGGTGCTATCGAGATTCATAGTGGAAGTTGAAGGGGGGACCTCAGTTGCGTTTGAGTTTTGTAGCTTACAATGCTATATGTAGATACCATTATGCACTTAGTATGCTTACGACCGATACTCGGTATTTTGTTATAATGAACAAATTTGGTTCGATGTGCATCTCCCTATGTGAGATATTTGTGTGGATCGCGTTGCACGCCGCCACGGGTATGTTATCTGGATCGGGTTGCACGCCGCAACAGTGTGATATTGAGAATAGTTTTCCATATGCTACCTTATATACCTTGCTTCCTGGTTTTTGAGGAAAGTCCGTATTGGGTGTTGCTCGGCGAATAGCGCGTCGGTTGTGTCCTTTCAGGATTGAATGGTGTATATTACTTGCTTCACCGTTGGGGGTAATGAATTGCTTTGGTTTCAGACATCAAATTGTGTGTAGCTGTCGGATTTTGATCACAGTGTATTGAGGTGCTTCATGTGTAGCAGTGTTTGGATATGATCGCGCATCGTAGCGAGGCTACGTGGAGTTATGACCCTTCGAGGTAGATTCAGGCATTCTATTTCTATGATGTGAGACGGGGTCTCAGCCTTGTGTTGTGATGGTACTGATGAGCTTGAGGTACAACTCTTTCGTTTGAGTCAATTGTCATGATTTGAGTATGTTCAGACCGTTTCTTATTGGTGCGTGTATTATGCAAGTCGTGGCGTAGGCCTGTATTGAGGTTCGTAGCACCAGAGTGATGTGTTGGATTCGAGGTGATCGTTGGAGTCATTAATGAACATGAACAGATTTGATTTCAGCTTGTTAGAAGGATAATATCGTGGTTTGGCCCGGAAATCTGTTGTGGTATTAGTCAAAAGGGAAATGGTTTCATGAATGGTTGATATGAGAAATGATTAAGGTTAAAGCGTGTTTCATTTATCGTTGGCAGTATAGGAAACTGTGGGAATAAGGTTTTAGCTAATGAGAGGCTTTCTGCCGGTATTTGGTTGTTATGGGCAACTAGTGTGAATAGAAGTTATCGTTTCGAGTGTTTGGGTTATGTAGTACATCATATGATTTCACCGAGGTTGCAGGTATGGGTTATTACAGTTGGTTCGGGCCTATTCTGGGTATAGATGTGAGGTCCTGATCTTGTGTATGATTTCGGAAAGTGCAATGTGATTCTACGATTTATGGTCTAGATGGACTGTGAAATTTCAGCTATGTTGTATTGTCGGACCTATGTAAGATAGGGTGACGTGGGATCATCCCGGGTATATGCTTGGTAAAGTTATTCAGCTGTTGGTTAGCTTTTAGAACAACTCTGGATACGCTCGAGGACGAGCGTTTGCTTAAGTTGGGGAGGATGTAACGACCCGACCCGTCGTATCAGGTATTACCGCCCTGTTTTCCTCATTTATGCTTCTTCATGTTTCATTATCAGCAACGAGTGAGCTAGAGTTGAATTGAATTGGTTTGGATAGGAAATGAGACACTTAGTCTCTTTAAGGAAGGCTTAAATTGGAAAAGTCAACCGGACGTTGACTTATGAGTTCGAAGGTTCGGATGTGATTTCCGATGATCCGGTTAGCTTCGGGAGATGATTTGTGACTTGGGAGCGTGATCTGAATTGGTTTTGGAGGTCCGGTGTAGAATTAGGCTTGAATTGGCGAAGTTAGCATTTTGGCGAAATCCGGTTGATATGTGAGATTTTGATCCGAGGGTCGGAATGGAATTCCGAGAGTGGTAGTAGCTTCGTTAGGTGATTTTGGATATGTCTGCAAATTTTCAGGTCAGTCGGACGTCGCTTGGTTGGGTTTTTGATCGAATGCGTAATTCGGAAGTTTTTAAGAAACTTAGGCTTGAATTCGATGTGATTTGATGGTTTTAGCGTTGTTTGATGTGTTTTGAGGATGGGTACAAGTTTGAATGAGGTTTTGGGATGTGTTGGTGTTTTTGGTTGAGGTCCCCGGGGCCTCGGGATGATTTCGGATGGCTAACGGGGAGTTTTTGGAATTTCATACAGCTGAAGGCATGCTGTTTCTGGTATTCTCGCTTCTGCGGGTCTTGGACCGCAGAAGCGGAGCTGTGATCGCAGAAGCGGTCCTTGAGGGCTTGGCAATTTCCGCAGAAGCGGAAGGCAGTCCGCAAAAGCGGACATCGCAGGAGCGGGTGGTGACCGCAGAAGCGGTCCTGAGGATTTTAAGTTAGACCGCAGAAGCGGTTATTTTGCGCAGAAGCGGGAGCCGCAGGTGCGGTATCCCAACCGCAGAAGCGAAACTTGGCTGAGTTTAAGTGAATAGTGTTTTCACGATTTTGAAAGAGAAGAAACATTTTGGACTTCGGACTAAGGAAATTTTGGGCGATTTTTGAAGAGGGTTTCGAGGGCTATCATCGGGTATGGATTCTTGGGCTTAGATTATGTTATTATTGTGTATAAACATGAATTAACACTAAAAACCCAAGGAATTAAGGGTAAAAATGGGGTAAGTTAGGGTTTGAGAATTTTGATGTAAAAAAAATGGAATTTGGAGGGTCAAACAACTCCGATTTTGGTGAACTTTATATGTATGGACTCGTGGCGAGACGAGGAATCCGATGATGTGAATTTTGTAATTTTTCGAGAAGCGGGCCCGGGGCTCGGGTTTTGCCAACTTCGTAAATTTTGGTGTTTTTCGAGTCTTTTCGATTGGGTTATGTTTCTTTAGCCTATTGTAATGAATTCGTTGTGGTTTTAATCAGATTCGGCACGCGAAGAGGTTGATTCGAAAGGCAAAGGCATAGCGAGCTAGACTTGTGGCCGGCTTGAGGTGAGTAATTGATGTAGATGATGACCTGAGGGTTTGAAACCCCGGTATATCACATTGTGACGCTATATTGAGGCGAGACACGTACTCTATGACGGGTGCGAGGTCGATTGTGACTGGGGATTTGACCTAGTCCGTTCCGATTGATGTTCGTACGGTGTTCTTGACTAGAAATTTGGTAGTAATCATCTTACTTGGGTTTTATGAATATGTTTGGGGCCTTGTGCCTATCATTTGCATCCTTCAGGGATCCTTATCACTGTTCCCATGATACTTAGCATATTTCATGATATCAGTCCTGAGTTAGACACTGCCTTGAAATGTTTGTAAATAAATAAAGGTTACACACTTAGCTCTATAATTCCTAATAATTGAAACTAAAAATGGACAATTTGGGTGTGCCCGAGTGGCTTGCATGCATATATATATCTGGACTGAGTGTGGATCGGGCTGCACGCCACAGCGAATGCTACGATGATATTGCGCTTGGGCTGTAGGAGCCCCTCCGGAGTCTGAACCCCCACAGTGAGCGCGGGTACCCAAATGGATCGGGCTGCGCGCCGCAGCGGTCATGTGCATTGCATTGCATTCATGCATCGGTTCCTGTTTGTACTACGTGTCATGACATTCAACACTCTCATTTCATTGGCATTCATGCTACTTCTTGCACTGTTTACCAGACGCCCTGGTGTTAATTGTTAGTGGACTGTGCCCGAGGGGCTGACTTATGTGCGGACTTGCATTATCTGAATACGCATTCATTTGCTTGACTGTTGGAAAAGGATATTTTCAAAAGAGGTTTTTAAACTGAGTCAGATATTTTCTAAAGGATTTTTCACGGTTTTTACTGTTTTCTCAAGGGGTTGTACTGTCCTATATAGCATGATGGAGTGCTCTTACGTGATTTCTTGCCTCTCAGTTATTATTTACTCTTATTACCACTGAGTTGGAAGTACTCACTTTACTCCCTGCACCTCGCGTGCAGTTGCAGGTATTGTTCACCCGGTAGCGGGTTATTAGCTGATTGAAGGTATGGCTATTGTAGCCGAGTAAGGTGACCGCCAGCGTTCGCGGCACCGGATGTTGTCTTTTGATTTCCAGGATTTTTCCTTATATATTATTATTGGCCCTGTAGTTGTGTTCAGGTTTCTTTAGATGCTCGTGACTTGTGACACCCCGGTCGGGTTGTGTTGGGTTGTAATTAACAGTTTCTAATGCCATTAAGTTGTATCTTCTATTCATTTATGTTTAATAATTGTTAAAGAAACGGATTGGGTTAGTTGGCTGGCCTTGTCTTCACGAGAGCGCGCCATCAGACCGGGTTATGGAAATTGGTCGTGACATTAGACAAGCACTATAACTACCTGCTATAAATCAATTTACTAACATGGTACAAGAATGAATACAACAACTTTTGGCAATATTTTTATAAAAGGAAAAAGAAAAATACTTGCTCGTTTAGGTGGTCTTCAATCTTCTATCATTAATCCAACTAGCACCTTCTTGCAATAATCTGGAACACCTTTTTAACAATGGAATATAAAAATAAAATTTCTAAAAAGGCTTTGGGAAGGAGGGATTTTTGGAAAGTTAAAGTCCCATATTGACTGGTTAAATTGATGGCTGATGCAAATACAAAATTCTTTCACCTAACTACCTATAAATCGCAGAAGAACATAATCGAATAACTGCAATTCAAGACCAAGGGGTGAAATTTGGGAAAAACTAATCCTCATAAAATTCAGAGAATATTACAATAGTATTACCAAAATCTATTCACAACTCAAAAAACTGCTTCTTATTTTGAAAAATTATTTACTTCCTTTTAATGTCCTACACTTGTGAGATCAGCAATTGCCTAACAAAACCATTACAAGTTATGAAATTACAAATACATAAAATCTTTTTCAAACCTCTAAAAGAACCTGGACCAGATGTCTTCCACCCTTTATTTTACAAAAATATTTTGCGGACACCATAAGTGACTTCGTAATATAATTTCTGCCATAAAGTTTTCCATGACTTACACAAATTGATCCTTCTATTAATACAACTTTCATTTACCTAATTCCTAAAAATAATAATGCTTCAACAATATCACAATACATACCTATTAGCTTTGTAATACTATTTACAAGATTATTACAAAAGTTATTGTAAATAGATTAAAACCAAATTCTGGAACATATTATTCATCCCACACAATCCAGTTTTTTAGAAAAATAAAAGAGCGGCTGATAATGCTCTAATTGTACAAGAAATCATTAACAAATTTCAAAAAATGAAAGGTAATAATTTAAGTATGCTTCTCAAGTTGGATCTTGAAAAAGCTTTCGACAAATTAGAAATGGTATTTCAATTTATAATACATTAAGTTTCACCTTAAATTTCCCTAAAAATATTACTAAATTAATTATGTCTTGCATTACTACTATTTCCACTTCAAATTTTAATTAATGGCAAATCCAACAGAATATTTTCAGACCCACAAGTTAGACAGGGCGACCCTTTATCACCTTATCTGTTTATTCTATGCCTAGAAATGCTGTTTAAGGAAAATAAATACAGCAGTTGATTATCAAGCATGGATACCAATTTCACTTGCAAAAAAAGGACCTCAACTATCTCATTTATTATTTGCTGATGATATTATTCTCACATAAAAAATTACAGCTAATACATGTCAATCAATTGTTAATACTATCACTCAGTTTACATATCAATCTGGGTCAAACTATAAATTTGAGAAATTAAAAATTTATTTTTCTAAGAACTGCAGACCCAAATACAAGACAAACTATTCTACAATTATTTCACATGAATGAAGGGAAAAGTTTTGGTAAATACTTAGGATTCCCTATTTTCATAAATCAACCTTCCAAAAGGGATTACCAATTCTTAATAGACAATTTCAAAAACAAATTGAGCGTTGGAAAACAAATTTTTTATCAAAGGCAGGAAGGACTACTTTAATTAAATCAACTTTAAGCTACATTCCTAATCACCTGATGCCAATATATAAAATCCCTAATTATATAATAACCTACCTAAATCGATATCAAACGCAATTTTCTCTAGGGAACTACACCACAGAAGAAAAAAACTTCATCTATTTAAAGTGGTCTACAATCACATAACCTTTAGACCAAGGGGGATTAGGAATACAAAGCCTAAGTACTAAAAACCAGGCATTACATGCAAGTCTTGGCATGGAGATTGTTTAAAAATCTACACAACTTGTGGGCACAAGTGCTATTACATATTTATTTACGCCCGCTACATTTGATAAAAACATAAGTTTCCTCTACTTGGCGTATATTATGAAAGGATGGTCCTACTGTCGCTTAGGGTATAAATGGAATCTTACGACGGGACAACATGTCAAGTTTTGGAACGATCCTTAGCTCAACCAGAATTACATAATTCGTAACTATATAAATGGACCTCTACCACAACATGAGGAAACAAAACTAGTTTCAAATTATATTACAATCATAAATGGCATTTAGACACATTACCTTTCACGTTACCAACACAACTACAATCCTCAATCACAGATATTTATATGCCTATCGTGCCCATAACTTATGATAAAATATATTGGGCTCTAACAGAAAATGGTATATTCTCTGTCAAATCTATGTACAATTCTATAATAAATACCACAAATCCAACTATAACACATACAACATACTCCTACAAGTGGATTTGGAAACTTCACATTCCACCAAAAATTTCTTTTTTCTTATGGTTAGTTTGTCATGACAGACTCCCAACGGCTGTGTATCTTACACGACTAGGTATCGTCAATTCATCCATACGTCCGCAGTGTAATATGGCCCCTGAAACAATAATCCATCTATTTCAAGAATGTCCTAATGCAAGACAGCTTTGGACTGTCCTTAGGGTCCCAGCTACAACTACCAATTTTCCTATATCGCAAAATGATAATATAAGTTGGTTATACCAACTTATACACACCCCTTTAATATCAACCCCTTACAAAATTCCATATACAACACTAATTCCTTTTGCATTATGGCAGCTTTAGATTATAAGAAATAAACACACATTAGACCATCAAAAAATCAATCTAAATATACCTTTTATTTTAAAAATGGCTGTTGAATTTTATTTCTTAACTAATCCTTGATTAAAACATCATTCTCTAACACCCCTTTATATAAAATGGCATCCACCAAACCATGCCACTTATAAACTAAACATTGATGGGTCTTGCTCCTCTAATCAGAGCAAATATGGTATTGGTGGTGTCTTTCGAAATCAACAAGGCAACTGGATTATAAGATTTGTAGGAACCGCGAAAGAAGGAACCAATGTTCAAACAGAACTTCTTGCACTCCTCATGGGGATGAAAATTGCTGCACAACAACATCTCAAACCAATCATCATTGAGACAGATGCGCATGCAATAATCGGTATGTTTAACTCACCTACAATGCAATACACTAATATTATTAATGATTGCAGGTTATTACTCCAACAGCTGGATAGTCCACCTCTACAAAACATCTACAGAGAGAAAAATTGTGTTGCAGATAGTTTAGCTAGACATGGAGCCATGCATGCACAGGAGTGATGCATACTTTTTGGGAGACCACCAAATTTTGCTATGCCTTCTTACCAACAAGATCAAAAGGGCACATTACAAAGAAGGCTAATTAAGACTGACTCTAGGACTTCAACACAAACACTCTCTGGTTCACATATTTTGTGTAATAGTAGTGCTTTACCTAGGACTTTACCAGCTATTAATAGTAGTATTTTAGCTACTTCTAACTCTAGTACTAGTAATGGTTCCCATACGGGACACCTGGTAACAAACTCTTGTTTTGTACAAACGATGCCTCTTATGCATCTACTTAACAGTTATCCTGTACTTGTTTGATTATCTATAATATAACTATATCTTTTCGACTAAAAAAAAGCATAAGTAATTTAAAGCTCACCAATTCCCATCTCAAAAAATATCTCCTCTTGGATAGCAGTGGTAATAGCAACAACCTCCTGCTTGTCGCTGACAAATATTAAAAAGATCTGATTTTTACGAGCTCAAATATCGCATTGATCCCTGCTCAAACATAGATGAAGCTATTCTAAGAACTCAATTATTATTAACACATTCAGCAATAAAAAAGAAAATTATATACCTAGGGGATATTCTACCTTGATAAGAAGACTGCGAAAGCTGCTACTATTCTACTTCAAAGGCGAAAATCGTGTGACCTTTACAGTAGAAAATAGGGTGAAATTAGGGTGCAATTTTATATTTTCCTCATAAAATCGATTGCAAAAAAGGGATGAATTATAGTAAAAAAAAATATCCTAACAGATTACTTATTAGATATAAAGATTCAACAGAAAATACTCACAACTTTAAGGAAGAGAAAATTAATAAGTTGAACAACAAAGACGATGGCTCTTCGATTAGTTTTCAACTTATCTTTCACCACATGAACATATTTGATTCTCTACCAATGAACTCGAACACTATTTTGAGAAACCCAAGCGGATTAGCAAGATGAGTATTAACCTTAAGGAGATTTTCTAGTGGTGACATCGTCGTTGCCGCCGATGGTGGTTTGTCTTCTCCTCGTAATCTCTGGTAATGAGGAAGGCTATTTGGGAGAGAGGGTTGTGAGTGTCGTTTGAGTGTAGTATATCAGATGTAGTGTATTATTAGGTTTATACTCTTATTTTATTACATATAAAAAATAATATAAAATTAATTAGAGTGGGTCTCTTTTTAGCGGGAGTCATCCAAAATTTGGGGGGAAAAGTAGAGGGAATTCATAATCGTTGCAATAAATCAAAAATTACAAGTAACCGTTACCATAGATAGACTTATTGTGACGGTCGTCTAAACCGTTGCCATAGAAACATCTATTGTTACGGTTTTTGGACTAATGCAACGGTTTAGGTGCTAAATTGTGCCGATAGTACCAATAACCTTACTCAATGGTTGGAACCGTTGCAATAGACCATCTATAGCAATGGTTACAGATCCGTTGCCATTATAATCGTTGCCATAGCCCCAATTTCTAGTAGTAATTAGCTCGGGCCATATTTTATCCCAAATTGTCAATCTTCAACAAAATTCACTTTCTTCGACTTGCTTACCCTCTTACCTTCACGAACTTACTCATCACTTGTTTGAAATAGCATAATGCTTATAATCTCAACATAATCTCATTCCCGAACTTATGTCGATTAACTTACGACAAAACTTTAACATACAAAAATACGGTATATAACATGTCATTTCCGAGCTTCCATCAATTTATTTATGGCTTCCTTTCACGTACGAAAATATGGGGTGTAACACTTGGCTTAGGCGGTTTCGATGCTAGTTGCACTAGCTACCTCACAGGCTGGGGGAGGAGCCTAGACTCCTACCGCTTGTACTCAAGAGCAACTAGCTTAGGGTCATCAGACCCCAGGGGTGTTACCAGTGCAGCCAGTTATTGCTGCT